GGGGGGGGGGCAGTTAGGACGATTTCAAGGGCCCGTGAGTGACAGGAGTCCTAAAAAACATAATTGGATTGATCTGGGTTGGGGGCCTAGTATGATAGGCTTTCATGGGGCTGTAAATCTCTCGTGGCGGCCCTAACAACATCAACGACAATGACGACAACAACAAGAATAATAATTATATTGCTGTTGTAGTTATTATCATTATTATTCTGTTTGTTGTCATTATCGTCATTGTTATTATTACTCTGACAGCCGGCGTTGGTCTGCCTTTCAGGAAACAGCCTTTCTTCTCTCCTACCCTTGCTTCACCCAAACTGCCAAGGTCTGCCTCAACCCAACCTGTTGCCTGGGCAACTCTCCCATGGGGCCGTGGGCATGCAGGGGGGCACCGTGCGCTGGCTCTCCATGGCCTTCGAATCGGTAAGCGCTTCCCCAGAGCGTGTCCTTAGATGATCTGCTTTAGTCACACATAAAGCGTTCCCCTGGCATCTGTTGGCACAGGGCACATCGTGGACGAGATTTTCTGTCGATACGAGGCGGGACAAGCACTGCAAAAAAACACCGAAGATGCACTTTAGTGAGCAGATAAGCCTTTTTCCGCTCAATTAAAAAAAGGTCATTATGAAAATTACCATCATCCTTTCGGCTTTCTCCATTTCCGCCTGTTTTGGAGACGTCTTAAAGCGTAACAACATTCCAGTGGCAGACTACACAAGCAAAGATCAAAGCCTGTGTGAATGGATTCCCCCTGTCAAGCTGTCAAGCTAGAACTGATTCAATTCTCAATTTTCAAATACAGGTGAAAGTCAACTAAAACAACTCATACTTCAATTACTTTGTTTATAAGTCTGGTTATACACAATCATGCCTTTAGGGTTGAGGGTTTAAATCCCACTCTGTGTGTCCGGAGGCTGCAGATCCTACCCTCACTGTGTGGAACTTTTTCAGATTGTATTTCATTAGGAAACCGGACTAAGACATACATTCAGGGTGACTGGCATGTCCAGATGGGTGCTTGTCCTGTAATGACCTGGCATCAAATCCAAAGTGTTCTGTGACCTTGTGCCTTAAGTTGCCTGGGATCGACTCACCGTATCGGATAACAAAACGAATGAATAGTTTAGTTTTTAGGAAGAATTATTCATTTGAGTATTGAAAATTGTCCCACAGATAGTCATCTACAAAGCTACAGCTCACCTGATTTGACAGGATTTGTTACTCTGAGTCTCGCTGCGTAAGGGTAGGAGAGAAAGCCGCTGGACCGGGTTCTGTTGCCTCCCCAGACCACCTACAAGGGGAAGTCCTCCTTCCAGACGCATTCGGATTTCCTGCAGTGGGAGTCCTTCTTACAGGAGCAGTTCTCTTCCCTCCCTGCATCCTCCGCCTTGCGCCATGGATTCCAGACCTGTGAACACTGGAAGCAGATCTTCATGGAGATTCTGGGCAAGTGGAGAGTTTTATATTTAGAAGGGCACTCCGTACGGCCCCATCCGCTGAAATCAGGGTTAATCAGCTACTCCGCGTGCCTGGCGTGTCACTCGAATCTCACGCCTCCTTGCGTTAGCTGCTGACATCCCAGGCTCCCTGGGAAGAGCCAGAGTAGCGGTCAGCGGAGTAGGCAGGCTAATACAGGCCTCTCCTCTACCCGGATACGACAACGTTGATTATGTTTCATCACAAAGGAATCGACAGCTAATGACAGGGCCGATCTAGGCTGGGGATCAGTGTCTTACTGTATGAAATCACCCAAGAGCCCCTAGCGTTTCTGTTGAAGTATTTAAAATGCACTTAGCTTCACCATTTGAGAGACCCCCCCCCCCCCTGCCACCACAGTGTTATTAGTGCCAACATGATTAATGAAGTCTGCAACCTTGTTAAAATTCTGCTCAGTCTCTTAAAGCTGTACCTGGGCATCAAACATACTCTGGTGCCGTCTTCCCGACTGCCAAAAACTATCACCCAAAAAACGATTTGGCTAATACATACAATATTAATACAATAAGCGATCTGTAAAGGGCGGGTTTAGGGGACTTGGACCTGGGACTGAAATATGGCAGTGCCTATCCTTGCAGGAAACCTGCGATTCGCTCGCCCCTCTCCTGCAAGCCGGTGAGCTTTCGATGGCCCACCGGGCGTTATGAGTATCGATCGCCTCTGCTAATCACCAAGCCACACAGGAGATTTACATAACCGCTGCCGTCTGCATTTTCACGCAAGCCTGAGGTCTGTCCTGCCTTCAGCAATTTTCATGCACGGTGTTCAGGTGTGGAGAGCGCCCTCTACAGTCTGCTGCTGTCCCTGGCCATCTGCATAGGCACTGTGTCGGTGTTCACTTCCCACCCTTTCCTGCTTCTACCCATCCTCCTCACCATTCTGGGTAAGAAGCGCCCCGGATCCGTTTGCGTGTAACTCTACACCAGCCTAAACACATAGCTGCATATTTACCTGTATAGCTATGTATTGGCCAGTATATTGCAGACGAGGTGCATTTTACAATGTTGCCAACCATTTCTGCACATTCGGTGATGACCTCGCTTACACAGGTGCGTACCAAGCGGCTAATACTCTCGGTTGCCTGTAGGTGTTATCTGCCTGGTGGTGGCGGTCATGTACTGGCTTGGCTGGGAGATGGGGGCAGTGGAGGCCATTTCCCTCTCCATCCTGGTGGGCTCCTCCGTCGACTACTGCCTGCACCTGGTTGAGGGCTTCCTGCTGGCCGGGGAGACTGGCTCCCAGGCAGCCAATCACCACATGGTACGAGGCCCTATTCCCCGCCTTTCCCTCCCTGTCCTATCCCTGCCTCTGCCAGCCAGCAGCCTCCTTCTTTCAAAACACAGCACTGTGATGCTTTAAGGAAACTCACCCCTGATCCATAAGACATTTCACTGGTGATTTGGATCAGGACTGTAGACGCTGCCAAAAGACCCCTATTGTTATTCTAATGCTATTCCATTCATTAATGGGAAATTAGGAATCCAGAATAACAGACTAATAAATGAGGGGATTTCATTCTCTCTCTCTCTCTCTGTCTGTCTCTCCCTGATACATTCCCAGGACGCCTCTGAACTGCGGCAGCACCACACCATGCTTGCCGTGGACCATGTCGGCGTGGCGATCGTCTCCAGCGCGGTCACCACGGTGATCTCCACGGTGCCCCTCTTCTTCTGTGTCATCGTGCCTTTCGCCAAGTTCGGTCAGATTGTGGCCATCAACACGGCCGCCTCAATTCTCTTCACCCTCACGGTCAGCGCCGCCCTGCTGGCTACCTTGGGACCCGCGCACTTCTCCAGGCCCTCTGGGGCCGTACTGAAGGCCATCGTTGCCGTGGTTGTGGCGGGGGCATTTGGGGCTGCACTATACTGGGTGTGGAGACAATTTTTGGGGCCGATTGCTTGGTACGCCACATAGCACTCTCCCTGGGGTGGGGGGCTCTAATGATTATGGTGAATGCTCCGAAGATGACTGCGGGGGTGTCTCACGACCGTGTATATTCCCATCATGGTACAATCAAGGCCTCCGGAGGAGCTGGTAGAAATTATTTGGTGGACTGAAAAAGCATATACCTTTTTTTTCTTAAAAATATAAGTTTGTTGTTTTGCTAGTTGCGTCAGTCTGAAGGATATTCCAAGAGCAATGGACAAGAGACAAGCTACTTTGAATTCTGTGAATTCGGTCTGCAGGGGTGATAAAGTGGCACGACCAGCTGGGTGTGGAGCCATTTACACGGACGCTGAGCGCTGACAGGGCCCCTCGAACGCCCTTCCCACGGATGCCGTAAGGGGTTTGTATTTTCACTTTAGTTATCGTTGCCTGCTTCTTCCTGCGAGAGGTCTTCCTCTCCAGAGTGGAATGAGGGAGACAGCATTTACCTGACAGACCAGCCCCCCCCCCCCCCCCTTTCATGTTGTTTGCAGTCGTGTGACATTAAACAGCTTTGAAAGGGGCAGCGGCGGATGAGAGGTCGTGCTGGATCGCAGACAGATAAATTCCAAATAATACATCCGATAGCAAGGTCCAGCACTCTGATTTCTGGAATGAGTGACGCCCATTTTAACATGCTAGAAGTGTCGTGATGTCACATGCGGAGATCAGGGGAAGGCCTTAATGCTTCACAGCACCACTCTGTCACCACGGCGACCAGACCCATACCAACCTATGTGGAGTGGGGCACATCCTTCTGAAGACGGCGCCAAAGACTCCCTTCCTCTGGTCCAGCTGCGAATAGGAACACAGAAAGGACACGGGCCACCATCTTCTAGCGTATGCCGTCACCCTGAGAGTGATCGGATCCAGGCAGCCAGATCCGGTTGGACTGCGAAGTGGCGGCTAACTGCTGGAGCATCAGGCCCGGTGTGGCCCGTCCGTGGGAGGCTGAAGCTGACAGCAAACCCCAGAGAGCGTTACCTACATGTGCAGAGAGCTGAACAGGGCAGCATAGTCACATAGTCTGTGTTTAGTGGTCAGTTATGGGCAAATATATGTGAAACTAGATTTAAAAAAATGATTAAAAACAGTATTTTGAACGAGTACATTATGGATGTGTATTTACATCATGTCTGGCTGCTAAGACCACTTTAAAATGTTTGATATTAACGATAATTTTGATTGAACGCCTGATCCTGAGAAGCACATTGCAGTCTCCCGTTTTGTAGAGCCAATCATGCATCTAGTTGCTGAGATTTGATGAAATGAGATAAAACCAGGTCAATAAATACATTCTCTCGTTTGAGAAATGAACAATGTGTCGGCGTAAATCCTAAAAACGATCAGCTCTACACGCCGCTCGTGTGGTCCGCCGGGCCCAACAGTCGGCAGGGGGCTGACAGACACTCCCCAGCTGAATTCTGGGATTTTTCATCTCACATATGCCGACGTGGCCGTTCAGGTTAAGGGATTTAATCATGGCGACGGGCCTGGTGATTTATAGCTGCGGTTAAATGTTCTCCCGATTCCCGGTCCAGGGACCACATGGCCATCTGCTCCCCGTGGTTTCAGTCCAGGATTAAGTAAAACATCCCAGCCGCCTGCGAGATGGGTTAGAGCGCGAGGGGGGAACGTGCGTGACCAGCACAGCGTTACTGATGCGTATTATCATTCAGCGAAACCCTCCGTGGTACTCATACAAATTCAGAGCCGATTTGGATTTTCCATCCATCCATCATAGCCACTTAAGCCACGACACTGTCAGAATGAGCACGGAGCCATTCCTGGGATGCACATACACCAAGGAGGGGTGAGATGATTGAAATTATTATTATTATTTTTTACTTGACCATCAGCCACCACCATAGGGGACAACTGCATACAACACAATACCTGCTTGTCCTCTTCAAGGTCGTGGGGACCCGGATTCTATCCTGGAAGTTACGGGTGCAAGACAAAGAATTACCCAAGATGGGGTGCCATCCAGCTGCGGGGGGGCACTCACACGCCATAGCATGGGTTCGGACTGTGGGAGGAAACCCCATGACGACACGGGGAGTAAATGTAAACTCCAGACACATGGAGCCAGGGCAGAGACTCGAACCCGGGTGCTAGGCCCCAGTGCCCTGCTGTCCCTTAACCTGCCTGTATGCAACTGTCACAGACTCATACATACAGAGGGAAAGAAAAAAAAAATGTCGTCACTGAGATGAGCTGAACGCGGCAGGACTGCAGAAGAAGCATCCAGGGGATTAATCTCTGTGGAACAATGTTAATTATAGCGTGCATCATATCATTACTCTATCAATACGGCCAATCTACAGATATATGAAGTCAATTGAGATGACCCAGGCGTGTGTTTGTGTCCAGGAGATGCAGATGACGTCCAGATAAATGCTCCGGGCCACGTCCCGCCTCAGGTGAGTCACATCTCAGTAGTGAAGAAATTTCAGTTGGTTCAAAATGCTGCCTGTAGACTATTAAGCAGCTCCAGAGCACATATTTCTGCTGTTCTGGCGCCTCTGCACTGGCTCCCAGTAAAATCTAGGATAGATTTTAAGATTCTTTATTATTTACTTATTAGGCTCTTAACAACCAGGCGCTGACTTATATCTGTGACCTTTTGACCCCCAACTCGGCAAACGGGACCCTCAGGTCTTCAGTTCACGGTCTTCTCCAGCTCAAAGCTTAACCCCAGGGCAGACAGAGCTTCAGGGGGCGTTTCTCCAAGGCTGTAGAACATCCTGCTCATGGACGTTACATCAGCCAGCAGTGAGGACCCACTTAAACAGCATCTTCTTGTACAGACGATCCATCTCTTAATGCTTGATTGTCTTTGATTCATTACCTGTGAAACAGTTTGTAACATCCATTCTCAAAAACTGCTACTGTTACATGAAGTTGGTACTTGTCACTTACTTTCGCCCATCAGCAACAGGGCTTCGGGAAGTGTGACTATTAGCCAGAACACTGCAGACGGGCCCCTCGCTGACATCATCAAACGCCGACGTGTTAGATAGCGGAATGCAGCTCAGCTCACGGGGACGCAGGGATAACAATGGAGATGAAGGCGAGAATACAAGTGAGGAGATACTGATGCTGCATCTTACACTGACCTACAGATAATCCCACTGAGCAGACTGCAGCACTGCTCTGAGTGGGGGGCGGGGGGGGGATTGTGCCTCAGTACATTCAATACAACCTGATCTCACCCCCCACCCCCACAAACGAAGGATTTATGGAGTTAAAACCATGCTGCTAATGGTGTGATGCCTGGAAGTGTTGACTGCACATGGGAATAAGCCCATATTTTTAACAATTCCATGAAATTTAAATATTTAAAACTCCTATTTATGTTTAAACCACGAGCTCTGGAAGCTGAGTGGTTTCCCCGAGTCCCACATTCATCCCTAAAAATGAAAGGTAGTGGATCGAAAGTTCGGAATGCGAATGTACAAAAACGGTATAATGCCGCATTTTGTCAAAATCCTTTGGAAGTCATTACGGCCTGTCACTTTAATAAAGTCGCCCATATCCATGGATGGTGGCTGCAGTCAGAGGACGGCCCAGCTTCCCATGGGCGTGAGGCTCAATCAA